TACTGATATACAAATTTAATTACTGATATGAAAATTTACTGATATAGTCTACTGATATATAAATTTAATTACTGGTATGAAAATTTACCAATGTAGTTTACTGATATGCAAATTTAATTACTGATGTGAAAATTTACTGATATAGTCTACTGATATATAAATTTAATTATTGATATGAAAATTTACTGATGTAGTTTACTGATATGCAAATTTAATTACTGATATGAAAATTTGCTGATGTAGTTTACTGATATGCAAATTTAATTACTGATATGAAAATTTACTGATATAGTCTACTGATATACAAATTTAATTACTGATATGAAAATTTGCTGATGTAGTTTACTGATATGCAAATTCAATTACTGATATGAAAATTTACTGATGTAGTTTCAAAGCGTAATGATCGTCCTTTTTTCTTCTAATACTTGTAATCATTTCAATATTTTCACATCGATGTTGCAATGCATTAAACCATTTATTAGCACTTTGTTCATTTTCCGCATCCAATTCTAATTTGCGCCCATCAATACTGTAAGAAAAAATTCTTGATAAATTTAGTAAGATGAAGAAATAAGATGGAAAAAGAAAAAAAAGAAATAGGAAATTAATTTTTTATCAAAATAATCAATATTTTTATCATTTTATATGTTATTAACATAACAGGTATTGGAAAAAAAATCATTTAATAAAATAATGAAATTGATTCATTTGTTATTACCATACTAATTGTCGTTGTTTATTTGTTATTTTCATCTTTTTGCTTGCATGGCAATTTTTTTTTAAATTTAAAAAACATGGAATAATTTCTGTAATTTAATTAAAAAAATAAGGAAAAACTTTTAATTAAAAAATAGGAAATAATTTTTTGTTAATTCTACAATAGAAATAATAAAAATTAATATTATTTCCACTAAATTTCCCTTTTGAATCAATTTCCCTTTTTGAATTATTCAAGTAATGATATACGACACTAATATATAATTGTATGTCATATATTAACTTAAATTTTCTTTAACTTAATTACACAAATTAAATCTCAAATTTGAACTTAAATTTACGCAAATTAACTTTTTCATTTTAGTTCAAATTTTAGCTAATGAAATATACGACGGACGAACTGTCATTGATGGATGCACAAAAAAAAGAAAAAAAAGAAGAAACTATTTTAGTAATTGTAAAATGTTAAATTATTAATTATTGCTATTTAGGTAAACGTTAGCGTTTTTTTTTTTTTTTTTTCATGCTATTTATTTT